AATCGATGACTCAACAAACAGGATTTGTTAATGGAAAGGCGGCTCTGAAGCAAAGTGGTCAATCAAGCTTTGAAAAACTATTCCACGAGTCTTCCTTTCAAAGATAAGGTGAAAAATATTGTGGCAGATTCTGGCTCATCCTTTATCTTTGGAATATTCCATGAATGGGCTGAGGCTGAAGGAATCATATCAATTCATACATCATGGTTCAACAGAAAGAACAATTCGAGATATTTACTGAATGTTATCTGAATTACAGAGGAGATTGGATTAGTAATTAAGAAGCTGCAATTCTTCATCATAGTTATAATGAATATCTAGAATGCTCGCAAAATTTTGAACTATTAGGCAAAGGAACGAATCTGCAAGCAGAAATAAAAATAAGTAAAACAACAAAATCGTCCGAAGAACAACTGAAATACAAAATAGGGGTTCAAGAACAAGCTTAAAAAAAGAAAATTAAGATCACCAGTATTGACAGTCGGGTATTGGATTCTGATGAGGAATCAACATATCGGAAAATAATTTGTGACAAAACGACCTATTGAAGTTACAGGCGTTAAACAGATCGACGAAGTTTTAGCATAGGTTCATTTCAATTCAGCTGATTCAAAGACTGAAACAGCCCATATATAGTATTCACCTCATCTTTGAAAGGAAGACTCATGAAATAATTCTTCTAAGCTTTACCAATTTGCTTCAGAGCCTCACCATTAACAAATCTTGTTTTCAGTTCTATCCAAATATTCTGACTATTGAGCTTGCGAATGCATATGTCTTCTTCATACCATTTCAGCGCGATACATTGATGATTGAAGCGTAAATTATTTATTTCAGAGGCAAATGGGATTCTGATAGTGGAAAATGTCAAATGTCGTTGTGAAGCAAACAAAGCATTGCGTCCGATAACCCTTGTCTTAGAAAATATTTACCGCAGTTGTAAACGAAATTTGTGGCATTAATACTCACAGATCATGATCAAAAATCCCAAAAATAGCTTTCACACAGTATTCGAAGTGTTAGATCATGTGTAACACCAAGATCTTATGTAAAAACATTCACCATATCACACTTGTTGTTTTCGTTAAAGTAACTGACAAACCAGGGCTGAAATTACTATCTCTTTTTCCAATCTCAGTTCAGCGGTCGAGATATATATGCTTCCTACCCGAGAAAGCCAGAAAGAGTAAAAAACACATCCTGGTATTCTTTTCATCCCAGAATATATGAGTAAAATAAAAGAAAACACTTCTATATTCTCACTACTGACGTTATCCAGACCATGATATTGCCAACCAACTGAAATGATAATGAACGAAAGCTAAAGAATGACTGAGTATATCGAAAGGCCCAGAAAATACCTAAAACTCTAAAAGTAAAATGATTTGCAAAAGTACGACTTATATCATCAGACCTGCCAGAAAACAATAAAAGCAAATACAGGCTGAAAAAACAATATCATGATCGGCATATTGAAGTAGTCCGGAAATATGCCTCAGGTATATAACTGAAAGTTTCTGTTTCAGGAGACCTTTTTCTTCCTGTTTGTGTCTGAAAGTTAGTTCTTTGCATGACCTACACATCTATGTATAGAGTTACTTCTTTTGAAATTGATTACTTAGTTCCTTTGAAAGATTCCCACAATTTGTTGCATCAAGATGGAGTAGTAGAAAGACAAAAACTTCATTTTCCAAAAATTAATCACTCCAAAAAATATAACCCCTTCAATTTATAACTGAAAAAGTTCAGTATTCAATAAAAAACGCGACTCTTCTACAAAATGACACTTCCAAACATGAAAAAATTATATTGCAAGACTAATACATACTAATAATTGCGAACTTCCAAAACTGAAAACATTATGATTGCAATTATACTTCATTATCATCAAAAAAGTGTTCTTAGGAGATAATTGGAAGGAATATATTTTTATAATACTGTCAAAAACCAATTCCAACTGACGTTCTATACAAACGTTCCTTTCACCTTTTCTCCATATATTATCTCACAAATTCAATACTCCAACAAACACAAACACTCGGTTTAATCTCAATGCTCGTACAATGTTTTTGATCTAATCGAGGATCAAACAAGCAGTCTGTATAATATCGAGCAATTAAGCCAACATCTTACACTAATATTCCAACTATTAAGGTAGGCCCATTCCCTTATCCGAACAATCCTATATATAAGGCCCTAATTGCTTTTTGCCCTGCAAAATTCCCAACAATGAAGCATTTCTCTGTGCAGATTACAAACGACGTCTCCCAAATGTAACCATTTCCGAAATATAATTCATGCGGATACCGGGGATTTATCTCAATGATGTTATAGAAGATTTTGGAGAATTTGTCGTGCTCAGGTGGCTAATAGGATTCATTTTGCAGATATTGGAACGGTTCGTTTGATTCTGGTTCTGGGATCTGTTTTTGTCCAATCCGTAAAAATAGTTCATTGAGATTGTTCTTACATAAATCTAGTTGTGTGTTGTCAACATAAATAAGGAGCTGAGCTCCTGGATTCAGTGTATTATTTTTGTGTATCAATCAGATCTGAAACTGCTCAATAGTGTAAGATTTGAAGACAAAAATTCAACGTAATTACGAAAGTACAGGAGTATTTACTGTTCATATTATTTCAAATTATAGAAAATTTTGATTGGCAGAAGTCAAACAGCGATCTGCAGGTGATATGTGGATGATCGAATAGGTAAATTTTGATGAGGGTATTAAATTAGCAAGTGCAAAGTTATTCACCAGACTACATAGACTCCTTTTTACTCTACACACTCCTTCCAGCGATGCTCCCGTCTCTGTAACCCGTCCAAATAGTACTCGGCGATTTTCTCTGCAAAATAATTGTTCACGAGGGTGTTTGCCTCTTCATTTAACGAAAATATATGTCGTCCTAGTGCAATATTCAGATGAGGAAACAAAAATGAGTCGCTTGCGGCTAGATCTGGTGAGTGAGGCGGATGGTAAAGCAATTCAAACCATAGTTCGTGGATTTTCGCTATGGCAATCGCTGAAATGTGAGACGATACGTTGTCTTGGTGAAACAGGATTTTTGTTTTTGCAAAGGTGGCCGTTATACCAAAAACAGTCGCCATCACTTTCCCAGCCTAAAAACACTTTTTACTTTTTCTGGAGCCGGATCCCCCTTTGCAGTCCACTGTTTGGAATGTATTTTTGTTCGGAGCGTATAATGGTTTGTCCAAGTTTCTTCTACAGTAATTAATCAGGGCCAAAACTCGCATTTATTGCACCTAAACTGCGCCAACAGAACATTGAAAATGTTTATTCGGACACGTTTTTTGGTCTAACATGAGCAAACGCGACACCTAACGCGCGAACAGCTTTCTCATGCCTGAATGTTGATTTAATATGTGACGAACACGTTTTTTTCACATTTTTTCATTGTTTTTCAAGGACAAATCACAATCACTGGAGGAAAATCCCTAATTCGAAATAACTTCTAGATCATCATTAAGATTTGCAACTTCCTGCTGCCGGTGAAGATGTGCCGATGTCCTGGAATCCAAATGGAATGACGAGAAAAGTGTGCTGCACAAACAAAGCACTCTCACTTCAATTCAGCGGTCGTCTAGTACCATTTTGTTAACTTTGGCGATGCTTTCGTCGATAGTTGCAGTTTTTAGACGTCTCGAATGTTCATCATGTCCCAAGCTCTTACGGCCACGTTTGAATTCAGGTGCCCAAAGTTTCATCGTGGTAAATGATGGTGCAGATGCAGAGTCCCCATACACAAAATCTAACTCATCTTTGATTCGCGTAAGCGTATTGCTTTCCAAAAACAAATATTTAATGACATCTCAATACTCGATTTTGTCTATTTTCATAAAAACACTCACATCAACTCACTCAAACGACTGATACAGAACAAATGTGCTTTCAAAATGGCTAACACTTTGGTGAGTAACTGTCAACAGATGAACAACGAAATTCACTAGCTGTTGTTTACGAGTACTGCTGTCATCATGTTGAGGTCGGAAACTTTTCAGACCACTCTCATATAATGAAGGAAGGACAAGGAAATGGACCAAGTGTAGATGAAATGTTGGCAGCGGCGGCCAAAGTTTTACAGAAGTCACTGACAGATAATTGATAAAGTACACTTTTGACTATGTGGGTTATGGTTTGACTTTTTCCAAACTCATTTTGCTTTGATAATCTGAGTTTTCAAATAAATTTCAAGTTTAAATAATACAGATTGTTAATGGAGGAATTGAAATAACATGGAAGCTTCTATGGTGATCCTTCAAGTAACAAGTGGAAATTCAACTTCGTCCCCACTTGTTTCTGAACAATTTCAAATAATGAACAAAAAAAATTCGATGCCCCTAATTTGCCACCATTTCATTTACCATCTGATTACTTATCAATGCATTAAAAATATTCGCTAGAATACTAACGAAAAAAATTCTTCTTTCATTATATGAATTTATGAGTATTTTCCAGGCCACACAAGAATTCAATTTGACGGAGCGGATTTCAAGAAAGTAACAAAGATCTTATGATGGACAGGGATGTCTGGGTAGATATGTAATCAAATATCTACCTATTCAATTCATTTTGTCGTAATTTGAAGTATTCTGTTTGAAAGTGATTGACAATGTTCCATGATGAATTTCATTAGTTCGGACTTACTTAGTCTGATATTATATTAAAATGAATAGCTGAAAATAACAATTAGATTAGGCAAAAGATCTGAAATGAAATAATTGTGAAATAAAATACACACCTAATCGACACGTCGTGAAGTAACTTGGCATAGAATCTCTTAACTTTTTATTTTTATTTTTCGTTCAATTGTTCTATTTTTACTTGTATTTCATTTCACTATTATTTCATTTCAGGTTTTTTTGCTTAATATAATTGTTATTTTCAGCTATTCATTTTCAATTCTTCTTCTTTAGTTCTTTCAGGGATTTCAGATGAATTTCAATAGTATATTTCAATATCTGGGGTCTTTACATTTTTGAAATCTTCGGAATTTGCTACCAGTAAACTCAGATAAAGGGTACAATGTAACAAGGGTACACAATTTATAATAAAATCATAGAAGTTACTGAAAGTTATGAATTGAAATTTATCCAATTTAGTGCAATGATTGCAGTTGTTTTTTACTAAAATTAGGAATTTGTGAATAAAGCTACATAATGAGATTAGACACTTCTTTTTGTTTTTTATTTCCTTAAACCCAGCGACCACCTTAAAACTACATTTGAGTTCATTATTCAAGATTTTTCTGTCATTATTCTCAGTTTTAAACAATATTTTCATTCAATTTGACGCCGCACAAGGTGCGTCAGTTAGTGCTTCTAATTATACACACAAAATATGCAAAAAATACCGCAGTCTGGTCTCAAATGTATAAATTGTAAGTCGTGAGTCAGTATTCCATCCCACGTCTGAAGCACCAGATAGAGAAAATTATAACCATTTTATTCTCTGCGCTGCTATTGTTGGCAGTCTAAACGATTCCACTCAGACCAAATTGAAGGCAATGGACAGTTTCGTTTTTCTGCACATTTTTTTTTAAGGAAAAATGTGATGAAATTTAATCCAATTTTTCCAAATGAATATAGGACAAATATTTGAAATATGTGATTGGCCCAATTTCAGATGTAAAAATTTGGCGATAATGATATACGTGAAAAACTCAGGAAAATTAAAACTTTAAAATCAAGATGCAAAAAAAGTTTAATAAGAATGATTATACACTGAAATATAAAATTATTTTTGGTTTCCTCTAACAGAATCTACTTGAGAAAAAGTTTTATTTTAATTCACACTATATAAAGTAAAATGAACTCTCTAGGTTATTTCAGAACTTTTTCGTTATCAGTATTATCATCATATCTCTTTTATTGCTCTTCCCCTTCTCTGTCACCAGCTTGTGCCAAAAACGAACTAACATGCTTCCTTATTTCGTTTTCTGTGGCATCACTAATCACACCCCTTGTAATATCTACAACAAAATATTTATTTCAAATTGCATAATATATAGAAATTTTGTAATTGAAAAAATAAAAACAGTTAGTTAGAAAGAGTGAGTAAATAAATGTGTTTATAAAATAAATGTTAAAATATGTATTTCTGTTGAGCAGTCCGTAGTCAAATGAATATTCCTAGCGATTGATTCATAACGATTTTTTTATTGAGACTATACCTCATTCCTTTATTATTATAATTTATACAAAGAACCTTATTACAAACAAACTTTTCAAATTTTAACTTTCGATGAGAATTTGTCAATAAATAATTCAGAACATACATATATCATACCTACATCAGTTTCAAAACATGTTCTTTCCCTTTGCGGCCTATTGCAGAATATTGTGAAGAAACATTTTTTGACAACAATTTTTTCATAATTTCGTGTACCACTTTTCTTGTATCCGTACTTCTGCATATCAGGGAGAATAGTCTAACCTAGAAAAATCGATGACTCATTGAAATTGAAAAATTAAAAAAAAAACAATTAAGAATAGGTCAGTATTGTTCACACCTGACGAAATTATTGGTATAGTGAAACACGTGTCAGGTTTTTGTAAACTGCTGAGTGAAAATCTCACAATAGAGTGTTGTTTGAATAAGAAAAAAGCCTATTGAATGACCCAAAAATACTTTTGCATTTTCTAACAAAAAAAAAAACAACAGGAACAAAAAAATTAAAAATACCTATACCTTCAAGTCGATTATAGTTCAAAGGTCCAATTGAACAAATAATAATTTTATATTGGTGAATTCATAGTTGACCCACCTTGAGGATGCAGAAAATGGTTTATTGAGTAATATTACCAGTGTACACTGCCAAAATGTATTGAAGTTCAGAAAAAAAGGAATGGCCAACAGTTCAAGGGTTGAAAATATAATTAAATTAATACTGCTAATAGAGTTTACTGTGGATAAAATATTGGCAATTCAATGATAAATTTAATATCTAATACAAGGTGGGGCACCCAATACGACACGGTCCCTTTACATTATTCATTGAAGCAATATGAAATGAATACTGATGTTTAAACTAATCTAATTACAGTACTTTAATACCTGTGTCGAATGTTCTAAACCGGTATTTCCGGAACTGAATTTGTACAAGGTTATTCCAGAAATCATAACCTAACTGCCGTTACTTATTTATCAATATAACTCAAGCAAATATATACGTTATAAGTAATACACACTTACCTTCGTTTTTTCAAGTATCACTTTCATTCTATCAACTACTTATTCACTTATTGAGAAATAACTTACAAATACAAAGAACACAACATACACATGGACCTCAATAGGGAACTGGAAACGTGAACGACTGAATAACGGCGCCGGCGTTCGTTAGCGCTTTTCTATCGGTAGAACCAATCCATCGGAATTTGTGTCTTCACCCAATATTGGATTCATAATATTTACTAACTTATAAATTACATTAATATGTAAATTAGATACAAACAAATTTTACATTCACTTCAAATATAGTTATACTGATGATATTTATTATTATAACGGAAAAGAGAGAATTAACATAAGTAATTACAATATTCGTATCTTTTGTCAGGTTTAAGGGTCTAATATTAGAATCCAAAATAATTTACATCCAATTCAATGATACGCAAATATTATCACCAATATTGGATTCACCATATCTGTTTCCAACTTTCAATGAGTAATGAACCAATATCAGAATTTCACTTCCAACCAATATTAATATACAATTGTCTAGCCAATATGGTAGTGATGTTGGAATTATTATATTTCATTCAAATGGTGTGTCCAATATTCGTCCAATATTGAAAGGATATAAAAATAACCATATAGTTATCCAAATATATATCAATATTGGCTCAATATGTTTTTCATATTTACAATATGTCTATATTGACTCAATGCTAATTTACACTCTAGCTAATATAGTGTGCCTCTTGGGTTCGAGCTGCTTGGCCATTCGTCAGTGCAAGGCAGTGTCAAGCATCAACATGATGAGTTCCTATAATTGAAAATCGAATTCCTTTCAGAGTATTATGCCTCGAACTTGGTTGGTTACCTCGTTCATGGGCAGATGTTGCGATGTTGTTTGTCGTTCGCTCCAGCCTAGTTCGAGGAATGATACTCTGAAACTCTCATCATGTTGATGATAGATACTGCCTTGCACTGAGGAGTGGCCAAACAGCCCCAAACCCGTATGCAAGTTTGTTCCAATAATCGAAAATCGATTCTGGCAGTTGTATCGCCAATAGCAAATGCGATAATAACTTCAGTGAAGAATCCTGCACTGCCATCTGTCGAATATAATCCAACGCCCTTCATGATATTAGCAAGAGGAGTCGTTGTTTTCCCTGTTGTCAATCCATTAACCTACAGTGTAAGTAAGTTGAGACTGAAAAGAACGAATTGTTCTTTTAGATAAATTGATTTCCAGCCCGTCTCCAAGTATGCCCACTCACTTTATGTGAAGTTTTCTTCCTTATACGATGAATAGGGTAAATTCGGATATGCGTTTGTTTACTTGAATGCAGTATGCTTATGGCACTTATATATACCGGGTGTCCCACATTTTATGTGACAGGCAATATCTGGTTTGTTGAAGGAGATACACAAAATGTTTCATACAAAAGTTTCAGGAGTTCATGAGAGCTATATTTTGATATAATTTTTAAATATACAGGGTGTTTTGTGTAGGTGCTACAGACCAAAATTCCATTTTTTAAAATAGAACGCCCTGTATATCATTACATATTCAGATGCTACGTTAAATTCTGATATCATTTCATGTTTGGTTTTTGAAATTCAATTACGGCGTTGTTGAGTTATTGCTTAAAATGTAAAGTCTTGAGAACGACTATTATTTTTTTAAATATCTCATACAATTATTCTCTCTGCATTAGATCCCATGAAAATTAGTCAAAATTTTGGGTGTTCGAAGTAATGGTTTCAATTTTGAGTTGTGGAATTCAGTCAGGAATCATTTTGAATATGAAACAATTGCGAAATTGAAAGAGGTGTATTCG